CAACAGTTTTGCACCTGCCACCAGTTACGCAATCACTCTTGTTAAATCACCCGCAAACCATGGTTCAGCCCCTCGCGCAAAATTCCAGTCGCCCAAATTACTGCACGCAAAATTGGATCTTGATAAATCCGGCACCAAGTCTTTATGACTTTAAAAAAAAAATAAGTACTGTTGTTTTACAATACATATCTTTATACAAATTGTAATTTCACCCATTAATGACAACAATAAATGAATCATATGGTCTAAAAATTGGCAAAAGAACTTAAGCCTCTTCCAGAGTCTGTAGACTTATGAGAGAAACTCATTATGATGGCTGTAGCTGTTTCTGTTGTTCCTTTAAATCTTTATACTTATGGGAGAGAGACTTCAGCAACTACTTTAATTACAATTCATCTCTTCTTATATTAAAGGAAAACATTAATTAAGAGCAATATGTTACCTTCGGCAAGCTTTAGAACTGCTGTCTCCAGTTATTAATTGAGTTTATTCCCAAACGTCGTCATGAACTTGTTGCAATATGTTTTTTTATGTAATACATTTTTAAGTTTTATCAAGTCTGAAATACCCTTAACATTTCATTAAAAACTTTAAACCAGTGCGCAAAAAAACATTAAACATAAATAAGATAAGTGATAACAAAACAGTTGTATTCATATAGATATAATGAAATTATATTTATTTTTAAGATGGGCTGCTGAGTGGCGCAGTGGCAGTTTGCATGTTCTCCCTGAACATGCGTGAGTTCTCTCTGGGTAGTCTGGCTCCCTTCCACAGTCCAAAAACATGACTGTTAGGTCTGGCTTCTCCAAATTCTCATTAGGTGTTAGTGTGTGCATGAATAGTTCTTTGTCCTGTTTGTCTCTGTGTTGCCCTGTGATGGACTGGCGACCTGTCCAGGGTATAATCTCTGGACAGGTGGAGCTGGAGGTGGACAGCTGGAGATAAGCACCAGCATCCCTCGCGGCCCCGCTTGGGATAAGCGTGACGAAAAATAGATGTATTTATTTTAAATTACATCTTGAAGAAGAGGAACCTTGTTGGCTTCTGAAGCAATGGTTTGATGACTTTCCATTGTGGCTTTTGAGACATATCAAGCATTTGGCATTATTCTATTTAGTCAGAAATCCAAATTTCGAAAATGAGGAATCAGAATATTAAATCACAATACTTCCTATAGTACCGTCTCTGAGCTAGAAAGTTAAAGGTTTCTTTTGCGTTTCTCTTCAACTTCAGTTAATACAACTAAAAGCCACCAATCAGACTGTAAATGTGGGTGTGGTGATTGTCTTAGACCTAAACCTTCAATGCCACATAAAGATATCAACAAAGTCTGGCTTTTATCGCCTAAAGAACATATCCAGGATTATAGGACTGATGTCTGAGCAGGATATGAGTGCAAAACCAGTTGCCCTTCATAATTGGTTGTGAGTTGATTTTCTGATGAATCTTGATAAAAAAGATTTTCTCATATTACCATCTGTAGGGTGTGGCTAATACTGACCACTCTGAAAGTAGAGAGAAAAGTAAAGCAAATATTCTATATCAGGGGTAACCAATTAAAAATCAGCAGGGTCCAAGTAAAGAAAATCATCAACCAGTAAAGATCTGGAGACATTTTTAATTATAATGTCTTACTTTAAACAGGATTTAACACTGAAATTAGTTTTTTATGCATCCGTGTTATACATTGAATTTTTTTACAAAAAATAATAATTTAAAATGTAAAGTGTCTTTGCAAGTAGAGGACAACAATCGTTCAGTTTTGTATATAGACAATTTACCGATTTACATCTTCTACGAGACACCCAAACTGACCTTTTTTTTTTTTTTTTTACGGCTTAATGAGAGAAGTGGGCTTTACGCTTACCTGCAAGGCTTTTAAACATAAGTTTGAATGGCGATTCTGAAGCACATACTGTATCAAGGTGCTCATTTTGAGCCTTGATCGATATTTAGTTTTGAATATGTTCATGGTGGAGAATTATGCTTCACAGCAGTAGGTTGAGCCAAACATACTCAAAAAGTGCAGGGTCATCTTTGAGCAGCCATTTCACTTTTCTTTTACTATTTCACTGCAGTTCTTCCAGCAGTCCACACTTTTTCTGCTCTCTTTTTCTCAGTGTTTCCTTCTTTCCCATCACCTGGCTTGCCACAGGTTTGCCTGCTGTGTCTAAAAGTAGCTTGCAGCAGCGACCCAGACTAACAAAGCTCATTGACTAATTTGTATCACGTGTAGCCTGGTCTCAGACGCTCCGGACGGCTTTACTGTGTTAACAGGAGAAGCGGCGCAATTGAAGTTAGACACGGTCGTCAGACAACATGAGATAATTCATAAATGTTTTAAATCAGGTTGGGTCCGGATTAGCCAGCAGGTGGGTCTGGATCCGGACCCTGGTCCGCTAATCTGTGACCTCTGCTCTGTATCATGCATGCAAGGTTTTGGGAACAAACCCCTTTTGGTGGATACAAAACAATGAAGAAAAAACTCATACCTGGACTTCAGCCTGTTGGTTTGCTCTACCATGTCAATGTCCATTCGGATCTTGTATTTGACATAGGGAGGAGTCTGGTTGGAGTTTGGTTGGAGGTTTTCAAAGACAATTGCAGCCCAGAATGTGTCATTTTTCAAATGGTCCAAGGCTTTCTCCATGAGCTGGGCTTCAGTCGTAGCTCCCTCAAACTTATTCAAATCCAAACACTGTCAACAAATATAAAAAGATAAAGATAAATAGATGATAAATATAGTAAAATTAGTTGCATTAGTTAGATAATAGATAAAGATAACCCCATAAATGTCTTACTTTACTTTTCCTGAATTTGAACAGAATGCTGTTTTCTATTATTCATACTTATGGAATTTACACATGGGAATAAAGGAAAGGCAGGAATAACCTCATTAGAGGAGCAGCAGATGGATCTTTGGCAAAAAAACAAAAAACTATTCACACAGCTATTGACTAAACCACACAGAGTGTAGTTCAAATTATCTGGAGCTGCCAGGGGGGTGGGAACATGTTTGGGCTTCAGTAGAGACAAGCAATTGAGATACAGGCTCGGTAACAGTCCCCTCTTCTGCAGCCTTGTCCCCTCGTTTGGTGAGACGATAATGAGCTAGCCATCCTGGGAGGCAGCCACACCTGACAGATGTCCACACATCTCAGTGCTGCTATGGTTTTATCATTTCTTCCCCCCAGCAGCTTGCATTCTATATCAAGCTATGGGAGAAAATATTACAGCAACACCATTTGCTCAGTACATAATAGAGAGAATAATGGGACATTGAAGAGTTGGATGAGCCAAAAGTTTGCTTAAGTGCTGTAGAAAATGTGGGGCAGAAAATGTGTGGTATAATTTTGGTAACAGCTCCTAGGTACATCAGCCTAGGCAAACCAGTTCAGCATCAGGAGGCAGAACAAATTTCAGCGACAATTCAAAGAGCTGCACAACAAAATATCCTCTATTTTCTAATAAGTTGAATGCCTCATTATAAAAAAAAGGCTAACATTAAAACATTGTCATATTAGTTTGTATGACTTTCTTAGCTGATCACTTGAGCAAAAAACCTTAGCTAAAATTTTGGTGACTGCAAGACAGAAACATTTCACTCAGCACTAAAATAGAAAAACATTTTATTTATTTTCAGAACTGGAAAAAAAACAAAAAGTAGCTGTGGTAGAGTTACTATTAATTCAACACAGTCAGCTTGGAATTAAAGTTAGAAAAGTAGCTGTTCAAATTCATTTTATGAACTGTATAAACATATGTATAATTGCTTTACAGCAATCTGTTATGGCTTTTGTAGTGACAAATTTGGCAGATAATAGTTTGGGGTATTTTTAGAGCCTTTTGGTTTGTACTGTATCTGAATGTAAACATTACCTTTAACCTCTTAAAACCTTAACTGGGGGTAATATCTAGAATGCATAAAATTCCACCGGTACAATTTTTCTGGTAAACGCTCCAAACCCCACAGCTCTGGAACTGTTATAGCTAGAGGTCTGAAATTTTCTGCATTTGGGGTGAACATGATGTAGAACAAATATAATACAATGAAACCTGCTTTTTCTCAAGGATGTCTTTATTACTGCTGTTCAAAACAGACCTATCATTTCCCAGAATAATAATAAAAAAAAACTTGGAGTCATGTTTGAACTGATGCAGCTTGGTCTGTGTTACAGTCACTCAATTTTAATTTATATATTAGGAAACTAGAGTGTGTTAGCTTTCAAATTATAATGTATTGCACATGTAATTTGGACTTACAGTTCCTAAGTTATTAGCTTTTCCATTTGGGTATGCAAAATAAGCGAGCATTACCCAAAATGAGGTGGATGTTAAGAGGTTAACAGGGATTCCTATTCAAAATAATATCCCAAAAATCTATTTTCTTATGCATTGTAACTTCAGACAGTACTTGTGTTCCTTTAACAAGAAAACATGTTAGAAATATGAATTTATGTCAAACAAAAATGTTGTACTACTTTAGGCTAAGCAAAATATAAAAAGCAGCCTTGTTTCCAGTATTTGAAAAAGCCTATAAATATTTCAGATTTAAACATCAGTCAGCACCTTTGATATTTTAAAAATCAAACCCATGTCATTTTTTCCCTTGTTTAATTGATGAAAATGTGCTTCAGGGGATTCTTGTCAGCAATACTGACTGAAAGAGACGCTAAAGAAACCTAACACCAGACGAAGGAAATAGAAGGTGTCTCATTGCAGTGTTTTGTGTGTCAAGTCTTTGTTCTAACTGACCCTATTCTCCATAAGGAGCTGCAAAGATGCCTGAAAATGTACATCCACCACATTTACAAGTCCCTCAGAGCCTCTTCAGTCTGTGTTTACTCTGTTCTTTAGTCATGATGGAACATAAGCAGCATTCTCTTTGTTAACCTCAGCCCTACCAGCCAAAACAATCCTTGAGGGGACAGACTCCGTGTTTCTGTTTTGTATTTTTATTCCTCTTTGACCACTGGGCTAGCAGCCAAATTTCAGACAAATTATATAATCAGTCTAACACTAACTTGAAAAACAAAGAACAGGCCATGTTGAGAGTTACCAGTCTCAACTCTGTTTTGCTCCTAAAGCATCTCGTGCATTTTTTTATACAGTTAAAATATGATCGGTTATTTAAATGAAGAGCTGATCTCTGTGGTAAACACAAACCTCAGCTATGTTACTGCCAATGTTCAGGTCAAGAGGCTGTGCAAGTGTGAACCATCACATTTGCTGTTTATCCTTTAAACTTGCATACCCATGGGGAATCCAAACCCTCCAGTAACTCATACAATAGTTTTCTTCTTTTTTTCCTGCATATTCCTCTATTAAAAAAAGCATTCATTTGGAGCAATGTATTAATCTCTGTGAGCATCAGACCAAAGTTATTAGGGTAAACTAATTGAGTTTATTCCCTGGGATGTGACGATGCAGTGGCATTTTCGTTTTATCTGCTATCCCAAAAGCTCAATATGGTTTTAACAGAATAAAAAGAGATGGAAATAGTGCTTCCATTCATTGGCTTTAAGTGTTCAATTATGCATGAATCTAGGCTCTACTCTATTAGTGTCTAATTTCTTGTGAGTCTGTTTTACTGAAGATGTTGTATTTATTCTGAGCAGCAATATTTTAATTCCATCTCTTCTGTTCTTGTTCAATGAAATCATCACTGATTCGAATGAATACAGAACGTCACTGCAGCCTCTGCCAATATTATTTTTGACAATTAGTTTGCTGTATGCTAGCGATGATACCAGGGTAAGGTTGGGATTCTGGAGACATACGAAAACATTTTCACTTTATGCATCGACTGTTTTTCTTATAGAAAGCAAATGATTCAGGAGAACTTGATTTTTAGAAAGAAACATATATCGGTTGTTTTTTTTTCTGTTGTTCCTTACTATTTCATAAAGGTTTAGAGCTTAGCTAGCTATTCTCTCAGTGGGACAGTTCTTTTCCCATGGTTTCAAAGACAGAAAACAAACATTTTTCACAGCAACTTTTTAGCGGTCCACATGATTTCTTTCATCTTTCGGGGTTTATTTTATTATGAATGACTGACAATATATAGCCACGCTTTACTGTAAATATGTGATAGGATATAATTTTCAAACAGTGACTTCCATAACTCCCTCCCTCCCATGCTCTACCTTCACTGGGAGCGGGTGCCTTTCACCAAGCAGCCTGGGATAATAGCATAAGATGACATTTGTAAACAATATTGTGGAAGAGTAAAGGTTTGGCCTAAAAAAACCCCCAAAAAAATCACTTATAATGCAGCCCTATAACTGCAATAACTTGTGGAATAAATAACGTACAAACACAATTTATTACCCTTTGCAATAACCTGTTTATAATTAATACCCAGTGCAATAACTATATATGTATATATATATATATATATATATATATATATATATATATATATATATATATATATATATATATATGCACCTTTTTCTCCTTTTGGCTCCTTTTTTTGACTGTTGAACCAATGTGAAAAGTAAATTGATTACACTGTGAGATCAATATAGTCAAATCATTGTCAATCAAACTTATAATTCTTTTATGCATTTGTTTAAAGCCTCAATATGATTCCCAGGTTACTAGCATGTATAACTCACTGACTTGCCTACATCCTTTGGTGTCTGTTAGCACATAAAAGCTGGCATTGGCCTATCTGTACTGTATTTGTTTTTTACAAGGTAGTTAGAAACACCTAAAGGTCGAAATAGCCCTTTAGGTGTTTCCTTATACGAAAGCTGCAATCATAAGCCAACCAGACGAGACATATAGTAACACCAGCCTATCTAAGGCTAATGTCAGATCTATCTATGCGGATGGGCAGCAGAGGAAGTAGGCAATCTAGTGGGTTACCTGTGAAGGCAAGCTAGTCACCATTTTCTATAAAGCAATATCAATGGGCACTCTCCTTCTCAGTTACTAGCTCAAGCTTCTTACTTGCCATAGCTGACCACTCAATGATTGGTGCCAGCCTATCAGTAATCAGCGCAGAATGATATAGCCTTTTGCTCCAAGAAAGGAGGCACCGGTGGGAGCACAGAAACACTGCGTCATAAAAGGTACTCTTAAAAAAAATATAATCTTCTTGTTATAAACTAACCATTGAAACGTTTATGTATTCAAATACATATTGACCCAATGAATCACAATTAAAGTGAATCCTGAGGGTCCTACAAATATCCAGCTCTAGTTTTTCCTTTTTCGAAAGACTCCCAGCTGTGACTTCATATGACGGTCTTACAAAGTATGGATGAGTCTTATTATTTTGCAAGGTATTTAATAATAACACAAATTGCAGCGTTTGATCTTAAGTTGGGATATCTTGAATTACGAATATTTTAAAACCTTAACTGAAGTTTCTCGACCTTGTCTTGTTTCCTTACATCACCCCATGTTTTTAACATCATCTTTCTCTAAACCATCATTATGGAGCAAATTACAGGTAAAATTTTTGTCAAAATGCAAGCTAAGAGTAGTCTAATGGATAATTATTTCAAGGTTTGTTTAAAATTTAAAGCTTTTTCGTCACCATAACAGTTAACGATAGGGAACTGTGATTGGGATAAATAAAAACTTAAGGAATCAGCCTTGCACACAAAGCAGCGGACATTGCCCCACCAGTTCAAACAGATCACCATGCAAAATCTCTCAGAATGACATTTGTGCTTTAGGAAAATAGCATGATGCTGAGGACTAAGCTATCACGGGGAAATTGCCTCTAAGGACAAGCTGTGACACTACTATGACTGTCATACGGCAATGAATTACTTCTCCCCCTGGTATCTCTCTGCTCTCCTGGGCATGCAACAGGCTTATAATTACAGGGTTGTGGTCCATAGTATCTGTACTTGTACAGTACACATTTACAGTCTCTTTCTTTTCTAAATTAGCATTGGTATCCATTGTTTACTGCTCTGAAGCTAAGCAGATTCACACGTATTACTCAATTTCTGTTGTTGTTTTTTGTCCTTATGGGGAGTAGGTTTTTGAAAATATCATTTTCTCACAAAAAAACAATCTAAAAGTCCTAAATAAATTATATATAAGTACATTTTGATTCATAAAACAATTCCATACATATTTTCTAAAAACTGATAAAAGGGACGCTCTAACCTGTAATCTGATCTTAAGTCAAAGTTTTTATACCATATATTGTTAAGAATTATTTTACGTTAACTTTTTCCTGTTTGAAAAAAAAGGTTGTTCAGATAAAAATATACATAAATCTCTATATAGAATAAGATGTATTTGAAAGCTCTACAATGTGTTTAGAATACAATAAATAAGAAAATTAAGAAACTAAATGGGTTACATTATTTTGATTGGCATAGCACAGGTACTTCAACTACTTTCTTACAAGTGTGTTTATACGTTTGATGGTGAGGGACAGGAAAATAATTCTGCCTTTATGACTCTAAATATATTACTGTCAGCCTTGTTATGTGTGCATTTTTACCCATCAGCCTGTTTGATAGCATTTCACATATACTTTATTCTAGAGCATGACAGTGCTTTCAGTAGGTGATTATCATGGATGTGTTATGGTGATAGATCTTGACAGTTTGTTAAGTCAGAGGTATTAGAATTTAATGAAGAAAGGCGCAAACCCTCTTCAGCTTGTAATCCGCTTGTAATAAAAAGAAAAACTGGGAGATGAAAAGATATATCAAAAAGTTGCAGCCTTGATTTTTAGTGTGAACAATAGTAGTGAATAGATCCTGTAGCAAACGACCTAGGAAACAAATTGCTGAGCAAACATCAACATGGTAGATTTAATACCCCTAGCGAACAAATTATAGTACCTCTGAGTTTTGGCAGATGCCAGAGGTGAAAGTTGTGAACAAAAAAGATTTAGAGATCAGTTAAAAGAAACCAGCAATTATTTCTGAGATACGTGACTGACGCCCAACACTTTAAATAAAAGAAATATCCTGCTGATGGGAGAACTGGTGCTGCAACCTCCATTCTTTTAAGGAGAAAGTTTTAGATTTTATTGAGGGTAAAAGTGCAAAACAATAATTGATTGAAAGCATCAGTGAACACTGTAATTAAAACTATCATTTAAAACAAAATACAAACAAGCAAACGAAAAAACAAAAAGACATTTCATTCTATTTTGCACTTCTGAGAAAATATCGAACTGTGGAAACTGTTCCACGGGGTTTTGCCACCAACATCCATCAAGCATTTATGCTTAATCATCTAGCATTGCTTTAAAATATTACATTTTATATCAATCCAATAGCTCTCCAGGTTTGCATATGAGTTTCCTTTTCTAGATTATTAACAATATGTTATTAAGACATGTATTTCTGAAGTGATGGTATTTGCATTGTAAAAATTCAAAATGCTCATTGTGCTCAGTGTGTTAGAATAGTTTTAACTTATTCATTGCCAGCATGTAGCCTAGCTTTCTTTAAATTAACCCAAGCTATACTGATTTTCTGATAGTCTATTTTATAAAACAAATACTATAAAATGAATATTTGAAAGGTGAATAGAATTACTAGATTTTATATAGGCATATTTCATTCTCAGGCTAATGCTAATGTACTTGAATTTGCAAGCAATTTTTTTTTTCAGATTTTGAAAATTATTTCAGCTGTTTCAATTTAATTAATTGAATTTGAATAAAAAAATACTTGACTTGAAAGGATTCAGATATTTATTTGCAATGTTTTGTGAGGTTTTGTTCCAAATCTTAATAGATTCATTGCCAAAAGACTTTTACGAAGTAAAATCAAAGAAGTGGTCTACCATGACTATGAAGCTTATGCCCGTGGGAAATTAGTCCCTGACTATGTAGGGGCATTGATCGCCATGCCAGTCCAGGGACTGACTGCAGTTCTACTGTAAGGTGCCTTGGTCAAAGTCAATGACCGGCGTACCTGACATGTAACAACAATACCATGCATATTGCTTTACGTTAATAGAAAATGTTAATTAGACTATGTAAACTAAAAAAAAAAAAAAAAAAAAAACTGTGTGTGTTAATGTATCCTGTGCTGTGATTTATGTTGATTTATGTTGATTTATAAAAAAAAAACAAAATAATGTTAAAGTTGATTTAAAAGGCTCAATTTTAATGTCGAAAGTATTTTTAAAGCTTTAGCTTCCATTTTAATATTTAATGAGAAATCATGAGACACAGAATTAATATGGTGTGCTGAATGTAAAAAAATAAATAAATAAATAAAAAAAAAAAAAAGCAAAACAATTCTAAAGGTCACATCTATGTTACTTGGTGCACTTCTACTACTTTGGTGCACCTCTGCTACAAATTGCACACCCGTAAAGAGCTTCAGCATAAAAATTGCACAAAATATAAGGACAGTTATTTTGATTATATCTTATTTTAAAAGCAACCTGGACCAAAAAACCAATTTGAAAATATATCCACGATAATTGTATTTGAGTAAAATCAATGTCAGAGCAATCCTGCAGTGCGTGCAACTGCATGGGGATTTGCAACAAACAGCTACTGTATGTTACTTACGCCAAGGAATTGGGAGAGCAACTTCATGATTTCAGTGGTACTGTTGTAAAAATCCCGCCAGTCATTGGGTGGCAAACCAGGTGGACGGTCTTCCGGAGGCCCGCTGTACAGGAAGTTCCCCATCAACTCAGCAGTCCATCCCGTACCGCTCATGCGCTGGTTAAGGGCAGCTGCAAAGATGGGATTCGCCAGCAGTGCCTGATTGGAACAGAAAGAAAATGTATGTAATTGAGCTACAGCTTTAAGCTGTAAGAAGCAAAAAACTGTAAGAAGGGAAATTAATATTAATGGAAATAATAGTCAAGGTATAGTTAAAGTAAAGGTATGCCGGACCAAAATTAGGCAGGGCTGGAATTTTTTTCTTATTTTTTTAACCCCCAGTGTAGCTCATGCATAGGATATACAGTAATACTACTTGAGTTTAATTTGGCATATATTAGTCCAGTATACTTTTTTATAACTTATTTACAAAAAAAATATATCTTATAGACTTTCTCAAACAAACAAACAAACAAATACACTTTATATATAGAAATGTAAAATGTGTTGTTTCAAATCATAGACAGGTCAGGAACAAAGAAAACTACATTCTAGTTAATTGTCCCCCCTTAAAGAACTCAAATTCAGTTTTGGACTTTAAACCAGCAACACTGAAACAACAATACTTTAATTCACAGAACAAAAGGTTAAAAAATATGTATTTTGCTTTTTCTAAGCTTCACAAAAAAAGACTGAGACGGCTTCAATGATGCAACAAATTAGGAAAGGTAATGTGTGGATCAGAGAGTGAGAACAGGTGTAGCAGTAATACAGACATTTAAATGACTCTGTCTCTGATACAACAGTTCTTTGATAATGAACTCATTATATACTCTTCATTTAGCAGCCATAACCATTTCCCTCCTTCTCAATAAGTATTGCACATATTTTATATGAAATGAAGGTACTTTTTCTGTGTTGATCATTATAAGGCTGCGTTTGCTAGATAACCTGAAAGAAGCTGTCGTTTAGAAATACATTTTAACTGTTTTTCAAAGTTGATGGGAGCTGATGTATCGTCAGGAAAGTGAGCTGAACATCAGCTGAGCTCTGGTCATCAGTTGTGCTAAATCCTGACCTGACATTTAGACTTCTTCTGTCAAGTATGCTCAGTGGCATTTCAGCACCAACACATCTTATGACATTATGCCTGACTTAAGAACAAAGTGTCAAATTAAATAATATCTCTTCTGTGTGACCTTTGGTGGAAAACAGTCAAATGTATCTTCACATTTTTTTTTGTGTGTCTGCCATCTGAAGCACGCAATAAAAAAAAAAACAAAAACTTTATCTTTGGAGAAGTAGAGCAGAAATTAAAAGTTTGTCATCTTTGAAGTTTAGGGGTTTGAATGTATAAGGATCTAATAAATTTGCAATGTAGAAATCTTAAATTATTGAAATTTAACTTAAAGTGTGAAATCACATAACACATTAAAGTATGTAATAATGTTTTATCAAAAACAAATTTCTGTGTGTCCAGAACTACATGCACTTTTTCTTCCTCATAGTTTGATGATCAGGGGCCTCTACCACAAAGCAGGATTAATGGGTTAGTGAGACAACTTCACCCTTAACCCTAACTTTCCAGTACCACAAAATGGTTTATTCGACTTTAGAAATGCAATTTTAAGAAAGGGACAAATGTTTGATAGCATATCAACCTGTGCCACAGAGCTACAGCCATGACATCACTGTGATTCCGTTGCAACAACTGTTTTCCGTTTAAGGGAAGAGGTCTTCCCATTGTCATCAATGCCCCATCACCTTCAGTGCCAACTAATGCTTTGAGTGTGACTTCCTTGGGAGTGACACTCAATAGTTACTGTAAGGGGAGGCGTTTAGGGTGCGGTTTGGGATTGGGTTAAAAAGATCAGCAACCTTTGGTTTCTTGCTGCCATCAGTCTGAGGATAGTTATGCATGCATTGCTAAATACCATTAGGTTTTTTTTTACAGGGGTGACTGTACAACATGTGGGAAGAGCAGTTGCCTAGCAATACAAGAGTTGTTGAATAAATTCCAGCTTCCTCGTGCCACATATTGCACTTTGGCAAGGCTTCAACAATCTAAGAACCTCATTAAAAAGGATCCATTTATATGTTATACAATATCACATAATCTATATAAATGAAAGACTTTCTATATTAACTTTTTTTTATATACCTTAAGATGTGCATGTCATGTAAAAGCATCAGCTGCAGATACATGCTAGTGAAATGGAGTAGGTATAACCGTTAAAGTGTTCCCTCAGCTGGAGCCTCTGTCTGAATGTTTTGTCCACCGCTTAATGTTCCATGGCATTTCAACCAAATAGTGGCAGATGCCCGTTTAACCTAGCCAGTCGAGTGTTAAATGAACTTATTTATCATGAGGCTCTCTTCCAGTGACACAACGTCAGATCTGTCTGTTTATATTTCTAAAAGAAAAGGACAACCCTAATCCCAATAGAGGCTTTACGATTTTCATAGAAGTTTAAAAGGTCTTCAAAGGGATGCACCGCTATGAACGTATGCAAACATTAGTGCTCGTTACTGAGATGCTTTAAACACAATGTCATGATGTAAAACATGAATCATGGCTTTTTTTTATGATATTTATAAAGTCAAAGATGCTCTATTCCAAATCTAGCAGCAGTGGAGGAGTTAGTAGAGAATGAAACAGCAGTATGTGACCTTGAAAGACCACTCAAGATGACAAACCTTTGAAATCCACAAGTTTCATAGCAAGAGGTGGGCAGAGAGCCTGGCTGGGAGAAAATGAAGACAAAGGAGAATTGCAGGTCCATTTGTGTAAAGGTTAGGGCTAGGGTAATGAATACCCTTGCTATATGGAGCTTCCAATGTCTGCTTCCCTCCAGCTGCCTATAAGCTCATTTGGAGTGACACCGAAGTAATGTCAGTGTCAAGGAAAAACAGAGAGAGGCAAACAGATAGTAGGAGAGAATGGGTAAAGATAGGTGGTGGCAAAGAGTTTATGTCCTTTATTTTTGCTGGATAATCCTCTCCAGCAGGATGAGAATTATCCTGCACTTATCCATAATTACTTTTCTCCCTTGGTTTCTGCATCTAGCAGAAGGTGCAGCAAATTCATGCACACAGCATGCATACATTCGCCTGCGATTTCATCTTTGTACTTTCTTTTTCTTTAGACATTTTCCCATAAAATTAAACACTGTGCTTTGTATCAACTGTGTGGTTTTAAATGATTTTACATCTATCCTGGATAAAAAGTTTAGAAGGCGCAGTTCCAGGTATAATTTCAAGAAACATCTATGATAATCTGGACCTAATTTAGTGCAACTTAAAGAAGAGATTGCAGTCAGACTGGTTAAAAGTTTATATCAAGGAAAACCGGTTGATTGCATTGAGTTATCGACTTGCAGGACATGCTCCTACTGGGAGAGCTCGCGGGAACAATTTTCGCTTGCATTTGTCATTGACCCTTTGCAACAAGCAACAGTGGAGAGAAAAAAAAATCCCTTCCAGCAGAAACTTCCAGCAGAACCAGGCTCAGTCTGAGCTACCTTCTGCTGAGGCCAACTAGGGTTCAAGGAGATACTGCAGGTTGAATTGTCTCTCCAAAGTGCATTGAGATGACATGTGTTGTGAGTTGGCACTATATAAATAAACTGAATTGAATTGGATTGTTTCACAGTCCAAACAAACGGATATGGGGTTAACTGGTTACACTAGTTTGTGTGAGTGGGGATTACTGTTTGTGATCCTTTTCTTAGTTTTGTGAAAGAGTGGCAGCCTGTCCAGTGTGGCTGTATGCTGCCCCTTGCTCAATGACTGCTGCAGAGGCACCAGCCCTTCTTGGACCCTTCAAGGATAACTGGGTATTGACAATGGCTTTCCCAGAGATGATTTTGTGCCAACATTAGATTGAAAGTCCAACAAAGAACGCACTAACCAAAAGGCTTTAGTTCTGTCTAAAACAGTCCTCCCTTTTACCTTGAAATTAGGAAGAAAACTTTTCTTACTTGAGTAAAAACCAAAAAATTATTTAAATTCAAAAGATGAGCAGTGTTGGTTCAAGTTAATTGTTTTATTGAGTCTCACCCGAATTGAATTGATTTGAGAACTGTTCTGCATGAAGTCCCAGAGACGAGGGCCAAGTTCATCCCAAGAATCAGCGAGGTCTTTTAACATGGCAAGTGAGTTAAAAGTGCTGTTTGCCTGGAAAAAAAAACAAAAAACACAACAAAGAGATGATATTTAACAAAAATCCAATAAAACCCCCTCCCATTTGCAGAAGCTACTGAGGCTTGCATATATCCAGAGTGAATATAAAAATTCAAGACTAATGCACTAACATCTCTGGAGGAACTTAGAGATAGTTGCCGTGCTGAAGCCCCTTTCCAACACCACCTTTTATACTTTCTTCAACCCCCTCGCCCCTCTGGGATTTGATGTAAATGTGTTTTTTTGCTCCATGACACTTGCAGATGTTTTTTTTTTTTTTTTGTTTCGTAAGAGAGGAGTTGGCTTGAGTAAAGCACCCAGCCTCCAGCTGTGAAGCTGGCAGGTTTTGCACACCCTCATGTAATCGCTGCAGAAAATCCTCCCTTCACATCTAGTTTGTTTTGCCTAAAATTATGCTGATCGCTTGGAAAGAATGTCATGGAATGATAAAACATTCATTAAAAAGGCCTCAAGTCTACATATTCCATTTTCTTTTCTTCTTAGCCTCATTTGTAAAGTGTGACATCTCGGCTTTAACTGAAATTGAAAGCATCCTCTAGTTAGAATTAATTATGCAAGTAACAATATATTCAAATACATTCAGTGACTAAAACTGAATTCCAGCTATATAGAATTTAGCCTGTATATGCATGAGGAAGAAATCAGTTTCATGACATACTTCATTTTTTTTCTAAGCCTACCTCTTTCACCAGGAGGCGAGCAGCAGGTGTATTAGGTGCATAGAGGACCTTTCCTTGCAATAATGGCTTGAGGGTGCTCCAAATAAGGCGCAGAGCAGGTGTGCCCTCCAGGGTGTCGACAAGAATCTGACAAAAGGCATCTGCAAAAGAGAGGAGGTGAGTAGAGAAGTTTTGGAAAGTCAAATCAAAGGCCAAAAGAACATTGTTATACACTAGTTCAACATGTTATAGCCCTGCTGGGTTATCTAGCTTTCAGTTCTGCTATCTGTTCAAAAAAGTATTAAAGAAAATAAGCAATTCTTTTAAATCGGATTATAATGCCGGTATATAACCCATCTAGGGTTTCCTGGTTTTGTATTTCATAATGTCCCTTTATCAGAATCATTAGCAGAGAGAAAATTTTATTCCATGTTAAATTTAAACCCATTTTTGACAAATCCTATGACTTATAATAAAAAAAAAAATATTAGTGTCTCATAACTCTGCAACCTTAAACCTAATAAAGCAAAAAACCTGAATAAAATCTATTATCAAACCAATATTACAAGAGAGAAAATAAAAATAAAAACATCTTATAATAATACCTCTTATTAACCATTTCTTTAAAACAAACTGGTTCCATTTGTAAAATAAACTGTAACTGTCTGCTTTGCTAAATAATTGTTTTCTTTTGAGACTCAAATTTGGTTACCCTTGGAATATGAGTAAGTAAATTTCGGTATTTTTTTTTTTTCAAGCAACAAACAAATTTTGTAAATACAAATAAAAAAAAAGGCAATCCAGAGGGAAAACTTTGAAAAACCGTTTATCAAAAAAGGTTTTGAAAGTAGCTTTACTGCTGTTGTATTTTTTTTTTTCAGATTTTTTTACCTTTTTCTTTCATACTTTCTCTTTTTCAAATGTTGCTTTTTTTATTTACTTGTTATTATATATTTAATATTTAATTTTCTCATTATTCCTCTGTTTCAGAGAAACTATAAGAGACAAAATATGAGAAAAAAATAGTTTTTCCAAAAGCTCTGTATGATTAAGAAGCTTTTAATCTGAATTACTTTCTTTTTTTTTTATTTTATTTCTTAAAAAGTATTCTTTGCTTGCAATATGAATCAAGCACTCTCCAATTATGTGGAACAATTTACCTTCTTAAAACTTATTTTTTTTCTTCGACTTTTATTTGAAGCAGTGTTTCACATTCTGTTTTGTTAATTGATGTTGTTGTCTTTCTAGTAAAGCACTTTGGTGCAGTTTTATACCGGTTTTTAAAGTGCTATATAAATAAATTTGACATTGATATTGAAAAGCAATAATGGAATAAAATTCAGTCAACACTGAAACACCCTAACTGATCCGATCAAATAATTTCTTAAACAGGTCCATTTGATAACATGAATTAGGCTTAAACAATTCTCTATAAGCATCTCATCTTGCCCTGATCCAAATAAATATTTAAGAACAGGTGAGAAAGGCCATCTATTATAAAAATAATAATGCCATTGTAAGGCTTTGAGGCTGTAACATTGAGAGCAATTATGAGCAAATGGAAAGACATAAAACAGTGGCTATCGTTCCAAGGAGTGACCTGTCTAAAAATGTTTGTATACCTCTATATGTATATTCAAATATATATATGCACTGCTCAGAAATTAGAAGGAACACTCAAATAAAATATATTGATCTTAATAAATTTAATATTTTCATTTAATAATTTTTTATGTACAAAGCTGATGGTGTTAAAAACAGAATTACGCAAAGATCATCAATGGAAATCAAATTTATTACCAATGGAAGCCTGGATTTGGAGTCACACACAGTTAAGCTGTAAAAACACAGTACCGACTGATCCAACTTTGATGTAATGTCCTTAAAATATGAGTCTAAATTTGCTGCTTGGTAGCGGTCTGTGTTCTCTGATTGCTTTACTTGTAGATTTTTGGATTATGGGGGGAAGTGTAAATAAAAACTAAGAAATCTAACTGCTTTAAAGAGTATGACAAGAGAAATAATTTGAATGACGTGGAAAAATTGATCCAATCAGAGCACTTCAGAACAAATGTCTTTCATCAAACTGTAGCCTTTATTAGCGGCACTTGTCCTTGTTTATAGATTATTTTTGCTAAAACTTTACAACTACTCTGAAACAGGAGGAATTGGAAAAAAGGTAAGACAACTTTTAGTTTGCATAACTAACAACAATTTCACTAAATGAAATGGTCTTGAGCACTTAGCTGATCAACACATATTCTTTAAAAAGGGTTACAATTGCAGGTTTAAAAGATCAGAAACAAGTAGGCTATAATTAGCTGAAAATTTAATTATTTTCTTTCTTTTAAAATACATATAAAAAGACCTCAATGAGTTATTGATGTAATAATATACTCCCTTTTTGCTCATTCATGGGGACAACCCATCTGATAGGTGCATTGATAAACCATCTTCGAACTTTATAGTTATAGTGGAGGATCTTTGCGAGATTTTGAAAAGAAAGTTTTAAAAAAAGCACATGCACAACCCTGTACCCGCTCCCGAGAGGGAACGCCTATTAAACGGGTGCGAGTGCGTGCACAAGCCCATTTCTCCTCGTGCACGCTCTGTTTAAAAGTTTCTGTTTGCATCACTCATACAAGCAAACTTTCCTAAAGATTTGGAGTTTTTCCACGATGCCAGACTCACCTAGCCTGGGTGCCATTCCGAACTTAGTCCCGCCCACAACGTTTAAGGCCGGGAAGTTCGGTCTTGCATTGCTCAATAGTAGCGCGAGTATGCTAGCACAATATCTGGCGGGCCAATCAAATTGTCAGGGCGGGCTTTATACGATGATGGACAGATGATCAAGAGTAACGTAATCAACCACGTCACCAAAGCGCGCTTGGGTGACAACAACAATGGCTGCCGCTGGAGAGTTGAGGTGAGTAGATTCTGCTATTAGGTCTGTTCTAGAAGATATTGACAGCAAATTAATTTTAAAAGAGGAACAGAGAAACGCGATCAAGGCTCACCTTCTTATTCTAGGCGTGCAACTGCACGCTTTGATTTTTGTTGACAACAACTATGCGTCGCTTAACATACGTCACGCACTCCGTTGCTCTTATTGGTTGTAGGTCTATCCAATTGAGTGCAGAGGCATTTTTTTTCCTGGTTCGTTCGAAACACGCCCCATAATCACAGCTCTATGGAGCAGTATCAGACTCATATTCTGACTAGAATTGAGTAGGACTACGTCAGGCTAAGACTCACCACCAATAAGGGAAAATGGGGACGAGCACGTAGGACGGCCTTACGTAAACATATCACCAGAATGATAGACAATTAGGAGGACCACTTATTTTGATGATCCACTCGGAAAAAGAACATCCTTCACCATACCTTTAAGCCAATCAGATTTAAAATGGCAAAACATTGATTTTTGTTTTACGATTCTAGCCTTGATAAATTATTTCAATATCAAGATAAATCTAATGAAAGTTTTGGTTGTTTTTTGAGATATAAATGACTTCTCAGTTTTTGGATTACATCATTTTTTATTTTGTAAATTTACACAAATTTTTTTGTGTGTCTGTGAATTTAAGTCTTTGTAAAATATAGTTGTCGCTTTTAACATTTTCTTTTTTGCACGTAAAAAGTCAAAATTGTATAAAATAGCTCAATAAAGTGGACAATAAATCAGTTACAACTTCACCAGTAATGGAACAAGACAGGTGCAGATGATGCATATACCGAAAAAGAACATTTATTGCACTGAAATAAGGACAGACTGAAGTAAATACAACTCGAGGATCCAGACCTGACATAAAGAAAATGTTCTATCAACTGGGTGAAAACACAACCTATATGCTCAGCAGCAGCACATTCATTATTAATTTAACTTATCTGCCAACCTGAAGTTTGCCAGGTTACGAGAGTGCTGCAAGTTACATGAGGTCCTGTGCTGTGAGCAAAAGCACCTGGAGAACAGAGAATTCTTGTTCTTTGAGTTTTATTTGGCTTGTTTTGAATCTAAATGAGTTTTTCTTGAAGTGTGGTACTTTATCAAGCAAATGATCAATGCGGTTTGTCATCTGCCATTCAATAGAGGCACTGTCTGTCTCTATGTTTCCGACATTTGTCACTCCATGTCTCTACTTGTCTCATTTTTTTCCATCACGTTGAAGTACACCAAACCCCTCTCTCCTCCCATTTCGCCAGGCCAGTCATCTCTCCCATCAGAGAGAGTTTAGAGGCCATTTTCAGTGCAATTAAATGTTAGCCCTTCTGCCTGCTGGTCATCTTTCCCAGATGCTCCAGGGAGGTCAGCGCATATACAGCTAATAGCCTCCCTCTAGCACAGGTCCCGCCACCTGTTCTCTTTGCAGACTGCAGTGATGCACTTTCAAAACGAGCAATGTGCATTAAACTCAGCTTAGCAACCGTCTGTTCATCACAATATTAGGTTTGATTGGGAAAAAGTAACTCCACTGGGAAAATGTCCTTTATGAGCTTAAAGTGATTTCAAAAAAGTAAATACATAAAACAATGTAGTCTGGGAACGTGTAACATGGCAGAAAAGGATTAGGATTTCGGATATGGTTTGTCAGATTCTGGGCTAGATAAAAAGACAAAGATATGGCTGAGGGAGATAAAGGGACAGTAAATACATTAAACATTATGTGACGAATGCCTTATTATACTACGAACACACATACTCTGTTAAGATGGAATTTTCAACTGTTTGTGGATATTAACATCTCTCACGGTCCACAATAATTTGTTGCATACCACAACTGGTGTGGTTTAATTGTCAATAGAGTTCAGCAGGACAGTTTGATATAGTCCAAAAGGGCAAAAACAGAGTTTGCGGATAAGAGAGGCTGGAATGCGAGAGCATGTGGAGGGGCGGGTTCAACACAAACAGCAAGCCAATGACACCACTATGTGGGGAAGTTGCATACATAGCCGTTTATAACTTTATCAAAAACTGTTCATGCCACCAGAGACGGACAGTGATTTCTTTCCTGGATTTTTTCCAAACTCTTTTCATTACTGGTGATATTAATTTTTTTTAATCAGAGGATGTCTCTAGCTGTTTACATTTTGTTTTGTCTACAACCCTCACCAGCTCGTGATGTTTTCCGTGCAGATCTGTACGCGTGATTACAAAATATTC